TCATCATAGCAGATATAGCAAGAGAAATGTAGAATGCCAATGAGGCTGAGAAAGAATAGACAAATGAAAAGCAAAACACAAGCTAATACAAGCCTTGGAATCGTTCATCTACTCGGTAACTATTCTAGAACTAACCTCCATAGTTTTTCTGTTTCTTGTTTAGAATCGAATGCAAACACATAGAAACAGCCACATGATCCAATGACATCCTTACACCTAAGGAATCACTAAGCTACTTGGTGAAACAGGAAGCTTCTATCACATGCCTTCAGCAACAACTGCATTATTTAACTGGGACTTGTTACAGAGGACCCAGAACAGGAGTTCAAAGAAAGCCCAAAGCTTGTAGCCAAAACTAAAATCTACTCAGTATTCAAAAGTCCTACATCAGCAGAAAAGCCGAATCTGGGTTTCCTTATACATCTAAATAGTCAGCAGGGCATGCATCCAGAACTAAATGGACAGCAGGGATAGTCTAGAATTTTCTGCTCAAAGAACGTAGCTCGGGTATTCATTAATCAAAGATATCAGCTCCGAGTTGCGAATAGTCTAGAGTTCGTCGTGGCTATTTAACATCTCCAGCACGGCTCTAACATTCCTTCAGCTATTCAATGAATAACCGAATCTGCTTTACTAGATCTAGCATACACGGAACGTTAATGCCGTCAAATCAAAATGAATCAGCTTGCCTGGGGAGAATTTTCTGTCTACGAACAAATCAATTATAGCTTCTAACCCGTTAAGATCCTAAAGGGAAATTCGCAAACCCTAGAATTCCCAAACCAAGAAACTCAACCCTCGAAAATCTCGAGCGACCCAACACAGCAGCTCCAAAAGGGTCCTCATATCTCCGCGCGAAAAAGGCCTCGATTTCTAAATCCAACAGAAACGCGGAATCAAGGACAGCAGAGGAAGCGAACAGAAACCTACCGATTCAAAGCGCGAGACTTCGGCCTCCAAGATCGGGGAAGAAGGAGAGGAGACATCGACCTTCAAGTTGTGTTCCGCGGCGACGCAGAGGTGGTACTGGACGTCGAGGACGGCCGGTATGGTTTGCTTGCAGATAATCTCGGTCTCGGCCATCATCTTTGAACTGACGATCATTCGCGAAAAGGGGCAAGTACTTGGATGGTGGTAGGTTTTTGTTCGTTCTATAGCTGAGAGAAAGGAGTAGAAAGAATCGGCAAATTGGGTACCGCAGAGGAGAGAGAGAGAAGGAGAGAGATGGGTACGGACGCAATTCTAGGGTTTTGTGGGAATCGATTTGGAATCGAAATCTGGAGGGGCCTGAAACAGAGAAATTTGGGAAGGGGAAACCAGAGGAGTCGGCGAAATAATAATGGAGTCGAGGCGAAAATAAATATATGGGGGCGTTTTTTAGTTTTTGTTTTATGACGACACGCGGAATCTTTTTTTATTTATTTCCCATTTCAGAAAGGAGATGTGACCTGCTGCTACCGGTAAACCGACACGTGGCAGGTAAACGTAAAAGGCAGCGCGGGAGGTAGACTGGTTTCTCCCGGGCTTTCTGAATCCGTGGCAGCCTCGGAGTTGATTTGTGTTGAGTTAGGCTGTGTTTGGCACGTTCATTGAACTCAAATAATTCCTTCCCATCCCACAATTTCTGTTTCCTATACGCAATTGACTTTATTTAACACGTTTTCTCCTTCGTTTATGGTCTTTTACCTTCAATTTTTAGTTAAGATTGAGAAATATATTTAACACGTTTTTTTACTCTTAATCTATATGCTTACTGACAATAATTTTTCTAGCATTCCCCAATTTAGTGAAATTGTGAAATGTGAACATGAAAAACAATGTTCATTTTATGTCAATTTTACTTTGTAAAATTTAGATCATATGATAAGCAATATATTGAAAAGTAGAAGGTTGGTAGGCTATCAGCTTCTATTCAAGACCCAAGTTCAATTTCAATAGGTTAATGTGATTTTATAATTTCTCACGCCTCATTCCTCTGAATTATGATTTTCGGATTGAGTTTTTCAGTTATTATATGAATAGAATTTTGAGTTAATTCATATATGGGTATGTTTGCTTGAAGTGAGTCAATTTCCAAATATGACTTGTTTTTTTAGGTAGATAATCCAATTGTCTAAGTTTACTCAATAAATCTTACTTTTCTCTCTATCTTAAACCCATCAATCCACATTCCTTCTATTGTATTCTAGAATCAATTGCAATTCATGATTCATGAACCATTTGTGGTTTGCTTGACTATTATTTACCACTTATCACCCACCAACATAAACATGAACATAACCCATTGGATTTTAAAATCCTAATTTCATGAGGGGTGATAAGAATGTGCCCAAACCGTCAATTATTGAAAATGCCAAAGGGAGAAAAACCAGGATGGGGGAGAGGTGCTTGCTTTGGTTACCATTCAACGTATCATCTCCTTGTTCTTATCCACTAGCATTACAAGTCCAAGGCAAAAAAGGAAAAACCAAAACAAGGGTAATAAAAGACTAATCATTTCATCAACACATATTCATGTGCTCTAAATTATTTGATGCAAGTTCCATTGATATTTAAGAAAAATAGTATACATTACATTTGTCTGGACAATTTACAAAGTGACACATGAATGTGTTCAAACTTAACCAATAACTCAAAAAAAAAAAATGAACTCCATTATATTTCTTGTATCTTTAATTCAAAATCGTTTATATTTAATCAATGAAACACTATTTAGTTGATTGGTCAAGTGCACGAATCACAAATCGAAGATATGACTCGCTGCAAATGAGTCATGTTGAATGGAATTTGGCCTAACTCGAGCTCAAATCGTTAATAAACACGCCAAGGTCGAAATAAGATTGTTTAGTGAAACTTTGAGTTTAGCTCATCAATTAGCTCACGAGCTCAGCTCATTCATCATTCTAAATAGTGGAACCCCAAAACTAAACTCCAAAATAATTTATAAGTTAAATAACCTACTATTTGTATGTCATATATGATATATGTGATTAATATCATGATGGAAAAAACAATATATTTTCATCATTAATTGATCCCATATTTATATACTTCATTGGTTCATACTATTCCATAAAATTTAAGTAGTTCATATCATGCTAGTTAATAATAATTAGTATTCTATGATACAAAATTTCTCGTTTAAACGAAAAATGAGAGATATTTGCTCATATACCCAAAGTCTTAAACATCATATGGGGTGATATATATAATCTAATAAACCTATGAATCATCGACAAACCAACTCATAAGCTACATATTTATTTGCTCATATAGCGTCAGTCGAGTTGGCTCACCAGCAACACTAGACGAACCAGTTAATGAGCTCCAAACAAGTCGGCTCACTAATTGATGAACCTCCCATTGTCCTTTGTCTAACTCATTTGGTAGCGATAATCAGTTGATGGTATTAATCAACTTAATTTCCATTTCTTCAATACTAACCATCCACACTACAATCAAAGCTTAAACACCTACTACACGTGTCCACACATCGTCCAATATCTCAACGATGCCCAACAAGATATATCGATTAGATCACAAAGGATAATAAAATGTTGCCTACCGAGTATTCCAGGAGAAAAAAAATCTTCCAATAATGAGTGGAAAACGAGGAAAATATGAAGAATATTGGAGGGAAAAATACTTGGCTCAGCTAACAACTCCCCATCTACTACTTATGTTTCTCCAACCTTTCCTAGTTATTTCATTCTTCTCCATTTATGCCTTTACGTAATCTCTCATCGTTTCGAAACAAATCATTTCATTAACCACTCTTTGTATTTGTTCATATTGAAATGTCTACAATTAGTTCTCACACGACGCTACAGTAAGTAGCGCCGCCGGATCTCATTGTTTGCTCAACGAGCGTCGAGCTGGGGTTTAGAAGTGCAACAATATTGGTCTCAATCCAAATCGTGTATGAGTTTTTATAAATCCGTTGTTGTTGTTTTAGACCTTTTGTTGGCTTATATTATTTATGATGAGTTTTTCTTGTATATAAAATCTATAATTACGGTGTAAAACCGCGCTCTCCTTAAACCCGTGAAGCTGTTCTCCCCATACAGCATACACACGTTCCGTAAATCAATCATGAAAATATCAATATTATTCAACTGTTTAATTAATATACCAATTCATTGAACGCGTACTATAACAGTTTGAATTTCTCGAATTTTATCGATCAAGAAGATCTCCCGGGACCGCTCCTAAACACCAAAAAAGGAATTCTAGGGGGTAAATTACAAGTTAGAGTAGATAACAAACAGTCTGGGAAGGCAGTTGGGTGAGTGAGTGGTCCAAATCCAAAGCCCAGTTCCTCTCGCGCGCTCTGTCACTGTCGTTTTGCGGCTAATCAATGTAATGGCAATCTGTTGATGAAGATCCACTCACTCTCACAGTGAAAATGGTTATTTTCTTGTCCATGTATTGATGCTTAATGGAGCAAGTAGGTGTCAGAAGGAGAATCACTTGTGGTGTTTGTAGTGGGAAAGCAAGAGAACAAACCAAAGCAAACAAACGCCAGTGACATTGATTGATTCACTTGCTTATACATTTTGCATTGTCCACTCATCCATCCTAGATGCGTTCAAGAATCTCATTTCCAGCTCAATCATCCAAAATCACAAACTGTTACTAAACAATCAGTCATTTGGTATGATCTCATTTGATTTTTTCTGTCCCAACTTCATTTGTTTATGGCGATTGTCGAGGGGATTTTTTTATATATTTTGTTTTAATTGAATTACCAAATTTACAAATATTGATTTATGATGTGGTGATGTCATCAGTTTTTGGTTCAATCTTTAACGGTGAAAATGTTGATCGTCAACCGTTAGTATTGACGATCAACACAAAATTCGAGCTAAATCTGTCTATTATTTTTAAAAGTTGGTCATAACTGTGTTTTTTACAAGCTCGTGCCAAGCTAACATTTAAGTCGAATGTTGGGCCAAACCAAGGTATTAACCCATTTTAAAATGATCTAAGAAATTGTATGTTAAATCTCAAAAATTGTATTGGAGATTATAATAAAGGCAATTTATTTACAAATTCATGTTACATATCAAATATGATCCATTTTTCCATCTAGTGATTTTTTTTCCAAGTAAAGACAAGAGAAAAATGGTTAAAAATGTCTACCCAAAACCCCACCCAATGCAACACTTAGTGAAGTCACCCTACAAAATCAAAGGATACTAACTCTAAAGAGGACATCAAAAGAGCTTTACGTGCCACTCTATGCGCAACTCAGTTGGTAATCCACGAAATAGCCTTAAAAATTATACAAAGAGAACACGAAACCAGAAGCTGACGGCACTCTTGAACCAGTGAACTGCCTAGCGAATCTTCCACCGTTCTACAAACCAGTTGCAGGATCACCATTTCATAATCACCTTCAATAATGACATGAAGCAAACTCCTTGAAAATGCTAGTGATATGGCTTCCCTGACCGCAAAAAGCTCTGCTAGATAGGGCTCGTAACCTCCTTGGTGTTGAGATCTCGATGCCAGTAGAACTTGCCCGTCTATCCCACGAACAGCAAGGCCAAACGAGCAAGCAAAATCACGAACAACAGCGCCATAGGTGATCTTCATGAAGTCTTGAGGCACACATTCCCAAATAGAAGGAGGAGAGGGCATAAAACTGGGATGGGGTCTTGTGAAGGTTGAAAGTTAAGGCTGAGAAAGATAAGGACTTGAAAATGGAATTGACGGGCAAGAGAACAGACGAGTGGTTGACTATGTTCAAAAAGCCACTTTATAACGAGATTTCCAGATTCTCCAAAGAAGGCAAATGCATGAGAGAATGTGGGTTTGGAAGTTTACTGAAAGTATAATATGTTGCCACCAAATACTAAAGTTTGAAGTTGGGGCGGAGACAAGCAAATCGATTTATCCCACTAGAGTTCAAAGATTAATGGCAAGTGGTTAGTGGAAGACCAAGTGTTTAATATTCTCATAATGTTCCCGGCAAACTAGACATTTGAGAAGACAATTAACACTTCAGGAGCTAAGAGCTAACACAGTTAATACTTGATAGTATCACCTTCAGACACTGCCACAATTGTTTTAGAGGTCGTTTGCTTTTGGTATTTTGGTGTTGGATTTTGGCCCAAAATCCAACATATGTTGGACTTTATAATGAATCCATGTTTGTTAGCATATAATGGATTTTGTTTCAATCTGTGGGGTCCACTAATATTGGATTATTTGGAGCTAAAATCCGTGGGCCCCATGGATTATAAAATCTTACCTCTATAGCTAGGATTTTGGAAGATAGATATAATCCATGATGTTTAATGACCGTGTTACCCCCACTCATTTTGTGTAATCCAATTTTGCCCTCGGTTATTATTATCTCTACTGAGGACTTTTGTCTACACTCTCATCTCACCAACTTTGTCTCTTCGTTGCCAAGGGATTGCAACACAGCAAAAAGCTCCGGCAACCTTTTCCATCTCTGCCTATCGTCGTTTTGTCTTCCTTTTATATGAAGCTCAACAATTAATTATTTCATGCTTACATCCTCCTTTTTTATAATCCAATCCAAACCCTTGATTTTCCTTTCGACATTATTGGTTTGGGTTGAGAGTTTCAATTTACTTTAATGGCTTCTTGCGTGTATACAATATGACCAAATAGTATGGATGTTGCTGCCATTTTTACATATGCTATTAACTTAAGGGGAATGTTAACCGCCCAAGTTCTTTTCCATATAGAGCTAGGTATTAATTATATGGGCCAAAGACTTATGACTCGTAATCAAGAAGTTGTCTAAATCAAGGTGATATCCTGTTTTAACAATATAAACACTATTTTTGATGAAATGCCATATCTCCATGATGAATGGAAGAAATTTGTTGAAATTAAGCCTCTAAGACATATATGTACAAATTTCATTAAAAAAAATTTAGACAAAGAACAATCGAGTTCCTTTTGTATACAATCGAAGTTAATTATTAGGGGGGAACTTAGTCATTTAAAAACAGGGATCAATCACCTTCTTCCTGAGTGGCCACACGAGGAGATTAAATTAATGATTATAGATGAACATATTATGATTTATGAAAATGAGGGGAAAAAAAACTAATAGATCATTGTGATGAGTCATTCTTTAACGAATCCCAGTAGGCAACTTATGGTGTCATTATAACAGCCATAGAGATATCTGCAACAGTAGAGCAGGCTATCTTTCCTGCTTTTTGCTATTGAAGCAGAAGCAAGGCTCATCCTTGAAGCAATCCAGTTGGCCAAGGATCTTGGGTCCCCCTGTATTATTTGGTCTAATTGTCTTTCACTGGTCTTGTCCTTGTTCTCCTCGCCGTCTCCAGTATCTATGGCCTTGGAAACTCTGGACGTGGCTAGGAATTATGGCAGACATTCTGACGAAGTGCATGTTTATCAAAGTGGCTTTCTTTGTGAGAAGGAAAAGTTCTATTGTCACTAGAGGAGACAAAGACATTTAATTCACGCATTTTTTTTATTCATGTCATTTGATGCTTATTCATGAAATACTATACTTATTCACTCAAGAGTGTAAATTATTTACGTAAATGGAAATTTAGATTTTTTCTCCTAATAATTGGGTAAATTGCAAGGTTGGTCACTGAAAGTTAAAATATTCACGCTTGGTCACTAAAAGAATTTTATTCCATTCGTAGTCACTGAAAGTAGTTAACGTTTCACGATTGGTCACTCTCCGTTAGTTTCCATTACCACCGTTAGTGGTTTGCTGCCGTAGCAACCAAAAATGCTGATTCATCCAATTTTGACCTGCCACCTCATATAACCGGACATGCCACGTCAATTTTACCCACCACATCACATTTCCCAACCCATGACCCAACCCTCCTTATTAACCCGCCCGACCTAAAACTCCATTCGCCGAAAAGGACAGGGAAGAAGGAGCTTCAATCTTCCAATTCCAAATCCCAGCCGAGGGGAGCATCTACTTTTGATTGTCGATGCTATGGTGATCATCTCTTCCTCGAAGCCGATCTCCCCTTGCCTCCTCCCGTAAACCCAAGTATTCCCCAACCCAAAACATTGTGGAACGCCAAAACTGATGCATTCCCAAACGTGAAGGCGCTGCTGCTTCTATTCGGGAACACAGATTGTCAACGAACAGATCGAAGATGGAATCCGCCGCCCAAATTTTTCGCCGCCGAAGACAGAGGCTAGCAACCTCCCTTCGATTCGGGCCCCGACTGTCCCTGGAGTTAGTTTTGCTCGTCGAGTCTGAAATCGACGGGGAAAAGAGGCGATTCTCCTAGATCCAGCTCGACCAGAGAAGGCTGCGGAATATTCTTGAAGGTCCAATCAGCGTCAGAGTGGTGCGGGACTGGAGTGCGGAGGTGAAGTTATCAATGGTTGGGGAGACGAAGACGATAGCAGCAACACTTATAGGAGAGACGGATGGCAATATCCCCTGGCCTCGGGGTCCCATCTTGAGAAGATGATGAGCAGCACCGGAGGGAGGTCGGGCGACGGCGAGGAAGAGTTGCGGAGAAGGATGCTTGGGCGACGGAGGGCAGCAGACGACGGCGAGGAGGAGGTGCATATCAAACAGAGGAAAAAGAAGAGGAAAGGCTGAGAGAGATGGGGGAGATCGAGGGATGTGTAGAGGAATTAAAGAATTGGTTCCTTCAATTTCTTTGCTCGGATCACGGGTTGAATTGGGTTGAGTCATGATGTGGCAGGTCGAGTTTTAAAATTGGATGAATCAACATTTTTGGTTGCCACGGCAGCAAACCACTAACGGTGGTAGTGGAAACTAACGGAGAGTGACCAATCGTAAAACGTTAAATACTTTCAATGACCACGAATAGAATAAAATTTTTTAAGTGACTAAACGTGAATATTTTAGCACTTCTAGTGACCAACCTTGCAATTTACCCTAATAATTTGTATTGACTATATTTTATAGATTTAAATTTTGATTCTCAATTAATCTGTAAAAATGTGTTGCATTGATAATAATCTACACAATGACATCCATTTTGATATATTTTAATGCGTGAATAAATAACAATATGCGTGAATAAACACCAGGTTGCGTGACTAAATAGTATCAGTTTTGTGAATAATCAACACTTTTAAGTGAACAATGCCAATATGTCGTGAATAAGTTCAAATTTACGTAAATAAATGAAAAATAGGGGTGGGCAACGGGAAATGGGTATTTGGGTATACCCATACACGTCGCATTTTTTTAGCGTTACGGGTACCCAAATACCCACAATATTTTTTACGGGATGAGATTTGGAATCAAGAAGTTCTATAAAAGGTACCCACGGGATATCAGTTAATACCCGTTTGGGTATTACGAGTACTCGTACTACCCGCTCACACAAATTATAGCTCCAATTTACTACTCTAACCCTTAGCTCAATGCGAACAAAGCATACCCCAAAGAGTAATTAGCCATTCACAGTTCAGTCACTAAATCACTAACCATGACTAGCTGATAATGAGATTATAATGGCCTGCCTAATGAGTTGAGTTGTCTGCATGTTGATCATAAACAAATAAAATTGCCTGCCTGTTACAGTAGTAAGGAAACCAAAAGCCAAATTTCTTAAGACAAAATAAAATTATACTCAATAACTTGCATCTCGTTTTCACCCTCCCACAATATTACTCACAATCACTGAATCACCAATTTCACCCAGTTTAAGTAATCACTTCTGCCAACAATCACCATTATTTTCCTGGACATAGGTTAATAAGCATTAATGATCAACTAATTCCTTTCTAACAGGTATCCTGTGGTTGGAAGCACGGAGCGGCTATATCTAGTCAATGCTTTGTGCTTAATCCTAAACTTAACCCATATTTCGTACCAAGTTTAGTAAATTACCTAATTGTACTTGTTATCCTTTTATGAGTATCCGCGGGTACCCATTATCCGTCTCGTACAGGTTTGGGACATGGGATGTAGTTTCTTATCCAAATAGGAATGGGTATCCGTTTCAAACGGGATGGATACTCAATCCCGTCCCGTTGCCTACCCCTAATGAAAAATGCATGAATTAAGTGTTTGGTATTTAGACCAACTCCAATGCAAGCCCCAAATTTGGGGATCTTCATCCCCAAATTTGGGGATCTTCATCCCCAAATTTGGGTTCATCTTCATTTTCCCTTCTTTTGCTCCAATGCTACATCCTCTATATTTGGAGATCTGTATTTTTTAAGTTTTTCATTTACTTAAAAATATACTTATCGAAGTCTTAATATAATTTGTTCATGTTAATTTTTGTTTAGTTCGTCATCATTTTTAAATACAAATTTTTCGGTAGAATTTTTTTAAAATTTTGAGACCAAATTTTTGTTGACAAAAAATGATTGACCTAATTTGGGTTTACACACAACACTTGAAAATTATTGATCTAATTATATCCCTAACTAATCCCCTAATTAAACCCCAATTAACCCTTAAAATCTTAAAAAGAAAAAGAAAGAAAAAGAAATGCCACGTGACGGGCTTTGGGGAGTCTCTATATTTGGGGAACCCCCATTTCCACCCCAAATTTGAGAATCCTTTTGAGGATCTCCAAATATAGAGACTCCTCCATTTATAGAGGCTCCATTGGAGCAACTTTTTCCCAAATATAGAGGCTCCATTGGAGTTAGCATTAGAGGTGGCAACTGCCAACTGGCAAGAGACCGGACTTTTGTGAGAATGAATGGAAATCTTTGCTTGGTTAAAGAAAACCTATTGAGTTGATGGGCCTGTTAACTTGAAGTTAAATATTGAGCTCCAAACTCCCATAGGCCCACACGGAGGCCCAATAACCAAAAGCTACCAGTCAGACGGAACTAGTGTGCAGTGCAAGTTCCTTGATTGGCCATAATTCCTGCATGACGATCCCACAACAAGTTCACAAATGGCTAATCAAGCAATTTCTATTGAGCTTTAAGCTCATATCGCGTCAAGACGAATCGAACAACCGTCTAAAATTAGCCATCAGGAGCTCAAGGGCACATCAAGAATTTACAAGCTGACATGCCAGATTATTACAACAGCCCCATTCAAAAATTACACTTCATGAGCTGTCTGATCTTCAACATGAGGTTCTCTCTCAACCCTCTACAATATATGCACCCAAAGCCTCGCTTTCAAGGCAAGGGTTCCTGTGAATCTCCCAACCGAGACAGATGGAGATACGCATCGGTTCCTACAAACCCCCCAACAGAATCCATGAATCAGCAAAAATGCATTCACATGGCAACGTAAACCGCAGCACAGATACATGCATTGAAAGGAGACTTGCAAAACTAAACTCACCATATCCTTCCATAGAGATAATTTGAAGATCGCCTCCGAAATACCGAGCATACAGGCGGCTGATGGGAATGCCATACCCGTATCCAGCCATTGTAGCTGTATCAGCAGTTCCAAGATCGTCATGCTCGTCAAGTGGGTTTTTTGCTGTGCTGTAAAGGTAAGTGAAAATTTTCGGAAGACCACTTCTCGGAATGCCACCTCCTTCATCTGAGACCTGGTGTGAAGCAAGAGGAATAGATATTGGACCAACTTCTCTAAGGCAAACGAAACAGGAGGACCAACTGGGGAACGTGAGTATAGAAACAATCAATGAATCACCTTTATGGTAACATCCTCTATGCCATCAGCAACAATTATCCGTACAGGAGGTGCTACTTTATCTGAGTCGAGATAACGCTCTTGTACTGCCCGCAGCGAGTTCTTGACCAGCTCAAATACCATAAGATGCAAATGTGCAGGAACATATCTGTTGCAAGAGAAACATTTCATGGGTAAGAACTGATATGATACAGAATACTTAACAATCTTAATCTATGGCAGGGTAGTCAAGGAGTGAGCATGAATAGTCTGAAAGTCCAAAGACAACAAAAAATGATCACAGAGAAACAGCGCAAACTTACGGGAAAGTGAAATTCGGATCCCCATAGATTTTAATATCTGGAGCACAGCCATACTCCCGGAAACAAACAGAACGAGCATCCTCACTAGCATTGCGTGCAACCTCAAGCGGAGACATCTTAGTATGTATACAACCCACACAATGAAGAGGAGGATTTGGATTGTGCAACTCTACATGCTGCCCTGGGCATCCCATCACAATTGAATCATTTAAGAAAAATAAATCACATGAGCTTCCCAACTCCAGACAACAGTCCACTGAAAGCGAGAAGTGGAAGACATGAAAAAACAACAGTGAGTACAGTGAGTGTGAAGGAGACAGAAGGGTGATGGAACTAACCAATCAGCATACGAATACCGATTCGGGACATGTAAAACCGATCTAGAAACTCGTGAATTTCATCAAGACCGTCGTAATCAACATTTGGGTCCAAGCCTTTCTTCAACTGCTGAACGCCTAAGGCCATCATGGGAACCACATTGTTGTGCCTCACCTTAATTGCTTTAATCATCTGCGTGAACTCTGTCTCATCATTCGGGTCCTTTACCTCAGGGAAGGATCTGAGATCACGGAAAGAATCCAGGTACCAGTCTCGCACCTGACAGCAAAAGGGTAACAGAGTTAGCAGTTGCAGTTGCAACTGGGATATGGGACCTAACTTGGTTAGATAGAAAGGAAGTAAGAAACCATATACGATACTATCTACAAGGCAGCAAAAAAGTTGAATGAAGATGTAAACAGTAAACATTAAAGAGGGAAATGAATATTTCCCCCCCTAACTGGAGAGGTAGGGTCATCATGATAACGTAGGAACACATTGAAAAGTAAATGCTTGATAATGGTATACATTTGAATGGGCAGCTAGAGTTGAGAAATACTAGTAAAACAGTCATTATCCAGCCCCATCCAACAACATAATCTCCGAAGGAGCACACTTTATATGCAAGATATCCATAATATTGTATTGTTATTGATGCTCAGTTAAAAAAAAAAAGTGAGAAAGCATGAATAGTCTTCCAATTATCCCTATAATGACAAGATCAAGCATTAAACAACCCCTTCATTTCTTTCCAATCATTATAATAGAAACGAGTACCAAATTGGTTCCAGTCCATCACCAAGAAAACAGAAGCGAAAACAGAAAAGCAACCAACCTTGAGGACGGCGGGCTTGTGAGAGAGGCCGTAAGGGAGGGTCTCGAGGTCCATGACGCGGCGTGCGATTCGAATGGGCAACTCCTTGTGGAGGAACTGAGCAGAGATCAAGAGGTTGCGGAGGGTTGGCTTCGAACCGAATTCCATCATGTAGCGCAAGCTCACCCCGTTCTGCTTCATGCAACCCCACCTCTGCACTTCCTCGGTCATGCCCTTCCCCAATGTCTCCATTGCCTTCTTCCTAGCTGCCCCTGCCATGGCGACGATGTCGATGTTGATGGGTGGCTAGCAAGCAGTTATGGAGCAGCAGCAGCAGGGGACGATGAGGCCGCCGGCAAAGAACAACGACGACATGTACAGCTCTACACCAGAAATGAAATCAAAGAGAAATAGAGCGGCAGCAGAAGTCTTCTCCGATTGGGGAAATGGTTGCTGCCCACGCAATTCTGATTCTAGGGTTACGGGGGGAAGGGAAAGGGGGGAATCGATCGATCGTAATCGAAATCTGGAGGAGCGAGCGCGGAAAAGAGAAATTTGGGAAGGAGGGAAGGAACGAGGGGAAGGCAGAGAAGTCGGAAGCGAAACTCAGAAAAGAGAGATAAACGGTGGCTGTCGTCGATTCTCTTATCAGAATAGGAAATTCGTTTTTTTTCTTCTTCTTCCTTTTATTTTTTTTTTATTTTATTCATGTTGGTGAAAATATGTTCGTGTTACCTTTTCTTGTACGGGCTTTAATTTGAGACATTAAATTAGTAAAGCGTCTGTTTTTGTTAGTTTTTTATCGCTCCATTTGAGCGATGGCGGAGCGAGATCAAGTATGAAGGTTTACTTGCTTGATCCTTTCGGACTTTTCATGAGAATCTATTTTAAATGTCTCCGGGAATGCAATAGCATGTCTCGATTGGGTCGAACAAAAGATCTGTCACTTCCCGGAATGAGCGCTCACTAACTGTTTCACCATTAGGTTATGTGACATTTGGCTACTAAAACGTCTATTATATTTTGATACAAGTGCATTGAAAACTGACTCTGGTAATAAATAAATGAATCAAACCAGTTGTTCTCATTGATTTTCACTTTCTCATGGTTACAATCACTAATGAACCAAAATAGGAAAAAGTCAATTAAAAAAATTATACATTGATGACTGAAATCTGACCCAAAAAAATCATGATATTAAGATTAATTAGAAGATTTATAATTGTGTTTGGTCTGATCAATTAAATATTTAGATTGATTGTCTTATTCATTTCGGTAAATCTAATTAATCATTTGGTCCGTCGATATATTTCACTTCTATACTCTAAACATTAAAATTTGATAAAAACAAATCATATTAAGATCGATTACAAGATTTCTACTTGTGTTTGATCTGGTCTATCATGTATTATATAAATTATTTGATTCATTCCGATCATTCTAATTACACAATTGTTCCGCTGTCAAATTTCATTTCTTGAATAAGATGAAAAAATGGGGCAACTAGTTCCAATCATGAATTAGATGCAAAGATTTAGATTGAATTGAGTGATCTACATAGGCAGAGATAACACTTACAGAGACACTGATTGATGTCTAAACTTCACTTGATGAGCTGAGCTTTGATATGTTTTTCACTTTTTCTCCTTTCTCCCTGCCACGAAAATAAATTATGTGGGCTTTGCTTTGAAATTCCAGAATATGCAATTATGCATTCCATCTTGTTTTGTTTCGTTTCCTCAAAATAAATAAATAAATAAATCCTCCAATATAATATAGTAGAGTTTTATGAAATTTTCTCCATTTCAAATCTGCAAGCTTCTCCTTAAATTTCGGCCGGTTTTTTTTCCTTTTCTTTTTATTCCCAGACAAAAAAACCTCACGTTATATTGAAAGTTGGTTATCTTTTGGCTTTTGTCATACGCCCATACCCATAGTGACAAGAATGGTGTTGAATAACTGTTTTTTTTTTAATCTAATTCATTTGCAATTTAGCGTAGATTTTTGGTTAAAAAGCTCATTTTTTAGTCCTATTATCGGTTAAGTTTTAGTGTTTATAATTTCATTGATTTTTAATAATTCTAAATGGGTTAACAAAAAATCAAAAAGTGTTTTAATTATTTTGTCATTTATAGAATTTTGAATATAGGGTGCAGTCTTTTGATTTTAACATTGATAGTTTTAATGATTTAGTATTTGAGGATTTTCTATGATTAAGACAATAGAAAGTTGAATGAGGGTTAAGTTTTTGTTGGGTTTTCTCAGTATAGGAATTAAAACACACATAAAATAGTCTGAAATAAAGATGATGGATTTTTTGAAAAGGAAAAGAGAAGTTACGCATTTAAATTTTTTATCACATATCATGAGATCGAAAGTTAATATAAGTTATTTAGGTGTATAGTCTGTATTTCTGAAGGCGAGCATAACTTACTCATCATTTGATCTAATTAAGGAGTTTAAATGGTATAAATTATATGATGTATTCTTTTCTTTATTGCATTAAAGTGGTGAGAATATCTTGACATAAACCCATATAAAAGAACTTCAAAGTTGAAAATTTGATTAATATAATGATAGATAAACCGACTCATAGTATGGTAAAAATTAAACAACTTGGATAAAATATGTAAGTAAGAACTGTTGAGAAAAACCTAACTTAAAATCTTTTCTTTAACGGATGAACTCAAAGACTCAGGCCAATCGGCCGGGTACATGCTAGTAAGAAAGACAGAACAGTTTCCGACCAATCAACCAATCACTGTTCATAACCAACAAATCAATTCAACAAGGTTGAGCTTCTGTAATGTACTACTGTACAACAAGGAGCAAAAATAAGGCGGTGGCTGTGTGATGTTACAGACAAACAGTTAATATTCTACTCGCAGCAGGAGGGCTGATGCTCCTTCAGCAACTTCTCCCAAAGGCATAGAACCAGCCGTGGGCTCTGGTAATGTGCCAGCACGTAGTTCGGTTCGCACCCTGCGTTGTGGAACCTATCGTCATTCGCGTAATGCACTTTCTCACCCTTGTTCTTCTGCTTCTTCATCTCTTCAATCCATATCCCCATTGCAACATCCTCAAGTTTGAAAAGCTTGCAGAAAAACCCCCATAGTAACAAACAAGCATTTGTGAGCTTAATACAAGATGACACAGCAAAGCCAACAAAAGAGTTCTTGAGAGGGTTTTGTGGCTTCGTATGGTATCTAACCTTGAGATTCCTTTCCTGATGGCCCTGAACTATGAATTTGGCTATATCCCTGGAGATTATGTAGCCTGGACCGTGTGCCCATGGAGGATACGCAGCATGAGGCCATTCCTGCAGAAACAGAAGAACCCGTTATGTTAATTGCCAGGAGGAAGAAAGTGAAATGCCAGACTGCAGCAATGGAACTGTGATTACCCACCTGCTCACTAATGTACCATTTGCTTTCTTTGTCTCTGTGGGGGGACGAATCATATGCCATAAGGCCATAATAGAGACCCTTGGATGGCTTTTCTTTGAGACTCTTGAGCACTTCATCGATCCTCACAAAGGCATCATCGTCTGTTTTCATGATGTACTTTGCAGGGAGTATTTTAGTCTGCAGATTCAAGAGATGGCTCAGGCTAACATCCTATCAACAACTAGATAAGAAAATGAGAGGTTTTCAGTAGTAGCCAGCAACGATTCACTCTATACCGGACCTAATCAGATTGAATCAACATTTCAATCGAATCAGACCAGATCAAAGTATTCAATGCAGTTTCGAATCTCAACTTCAACACCTTTTTGGTTCCAATTCGACAGGTCCCCTTAAAACAAAGAAAAAGACGAACCTAATTGAAATAAAATTGGACCAAAGTTGATAAAATGAGCTTTTGATCTGGTTCGGGTCCTCATTTTCCATCCAGCCCGATTCTGGACAAGACCGAATCATGCCTACACCCAAGTTCAGTTTTTAGTGCTCATATGACGTACCCCCATTATGCAGATGGCAATGGTTTTCAAAGTAATGAGGCTGTAATAATCAACAAAAGGCATCAGTTGGATATCACCATATGCTTGGGCTTCTTTCCACAGCTCGAAGTTCACTTGAGTGTTCTTGTGCTGCATACAAGTAAGAGCCTAATTAAACCATAAGAAGTTGAAAAGAAGTGTCTGAACTTCATGAGATAGAAAAAGCTAACATATTTATTTGACGCCTACGAGCATTGCATCACACTTACAAGGCCAATGAAGAATCTGACAGCCACCTTGCCAGAACGTACAGCTTCATATTGCATCCATGACTTCCTGAGTGCCATTCTTCGCTGAAAGTTATTCCCTGTAGAGAAAATCCCAACCAGCATCACTAGTCTCTTTTTTGCCAATGGTGGAGCTTTGAGTTGGTCAACGTCAGCAAGTAAATCATGATCTTCAGGAACAGGTAACCCTTTGGCCAATGCTGAGAGGATACTCAAACTGCCAGACACTTTCACTCTGTTGACTGACCATGGTTCAAGTTTCTGCAGATTTGGACAGCACATCTATTGTTGAAATGTTCACCACCCTATAAAAGTTTTAACTGGTAATATGATTCTCAAAAGACAACACTTACATCTCTATATGCCAAAGAAGTTTCATGCCTTCCATTGACAGTCATATGGAATCCCTCTGGACCTACCCATAATGTAGCAGTAACTAGATTTCCTTCAATGAATGGAAAGTTAGCATCGGTATGAACACTTTCTCTAGACCCATTTGCCGTTGCATTCTGGTTCTCTTCTTTGGTGCTTCTAACTACTTGTTCATTGCATATGACTAGTCCGTCAACTGAAATATTAGGCTCTTAGTTAAGACTACCGAGTTCATGAATATTCATCACACTGTATAATGAAGGAAGGAAAGTCAGAGCTAAGAAGCGTACCTTTCTGAACATTAGGAGATCTATGAGAGGGACATCTTTCCTCATTGTCCCAACCTCCATCTCTAGTCCAAGAATTCTGAACAATGAAAGGTTCCTCAGACATATTATCTCCAGGTATCTTCACTTTATATAGCAAGACGACTGAAGGAGGCTGTAGCTCTTCCCCTTTAAGTTGTGATCCGAATAGCTCAATTCGGAAACTTTGATTGTGCCCACCAACAGGAATGCCAACTAACGTGATGGAAGAATCCTCAATCAAACCACAAGGGATATCTAGAATTGTTTCGTTGTATGGTACTTCCAAATCAACTCTACTTACAGAATAAGGGCACCTCTCATCACTTTTTACCAGCTTATCGCCAGATCTTCCTTCCTTCTCCTGAATCAAAGGCAGCACCTCCTTCCAAGCTATGGAACCCTCTTTGATCCCTTGCGCTGTCTCGGGCAAAGCATCGGACCGGGACAAAACCACACGCATATGAGCCCACACGAGCAATGCTGCTTTCGATGATACATTACTATTGTTTGGAGCATAGAGATCAGCAAGCCCTTCAAAGAATTTCAACTCCGCCTTGCTGCTTTTTGGTGGCTGCTCGGTTCTTTCCTTTGCTAGAGAAGTATTGGATGGATGATTATTGAAGAAATCCTGGGCAGATACGGATTGATTGGTGCTCTTTGGGGGTTGGGTTGAATTCGACATGAGGGTATAGCTGCAGATGAAGATGACAGCGAGAGCAATAATCACAGCTCCACCAGACCATTTCTTCATCAGGAACAAAGAGAAAGCTGCATTGAACTGCTTCATATCCCAAACTAAGAACTAGCAAATGACGATTCTGTCAACTT